GAACCCTAAACCCTAGAAAAACACTAAGAAAACCCTAACCGGGGTTTTGGTGGTTAGGGTAGGGTAACGGCGACCTAATCAAGAGAAGAAGATCATAACCATGGAGGGGAGGGGGGGAAAAAATAAAATAAAAATTTTGAGATAAAAATAAAAGAAAATAAATAATAAAAATAATTAAAGAAATAAATAAACAAAATGTGAAGAGAGAAGTAATATTTATTTTTTTGGAATTTTCAGCAGCATTTCCCTACCCCCCAAGGTGTCAAGAATGTGCCATGAGGAAGGAGAGACCAAGATGAGCACACTAAGGTTCAAAATGCCGCAAATTATAAATTTCAAAAAAATAAATAAAAAAAGAATAAATAAAGAAATAAATGGGGAGGTGGAGAGTGAAAAAAAACGAAGTGTTTGATTTTTCAAAAATCTCGGCAGCATTTTGTTACCCCCATGGGGTCGAAATGTGCTGAAAAAGACTTATGAAAAGAAAAAAAAACAGAAAATTTCGGCAGAACTTCGTTAACCCCACAGGGCCAAAATGTGTGCCGAAAGCAAGAATGACTAAGTCCTGATCAGATTTGAGGGTGCCGCAAAGAAATTCGAATTTTCAGAATAAATAGAAAAATAAAATAGAATAAATCAGAAAATGAGAAAAGAAGGTGGGGGATAAGATAATTTGAATTTTTGGGGAAAAAAAAGAGATTTAAATCAAAGAGAAAGAAAAAAGAAGAAAAACAAAAAAATTCGGAGTTGGGGGGGGAAGGGATGAAAGAGTGATGAAGAAAGAGAGAAGTAGGTGAGAGAGAGAGAAAGAGTGAAGTGGGAGATGGGGGAGATGATGGGGTTGTAGTTGGGGGGGAAAGATGGAGAGGAGGGTGGTAGAATGGGAGAGAAGGATATGGAAACGGTGGAGAGGAGTAGATGAGATGAGTAGAAGACGGTGAGTGGGGAGGAGAGGAGAGAAAAAAGGTTGTGCAAGATGAGTGAAGAGGGAGGTAGGAGGAGGGAGTAGTGGTAGGGTTAGAAAGGATGATTATATGATGGGGGGAGAGAAAAGGGGTTGGGGGAGAGCAGGTTAGTGGGTAGGATGGTGATACCAAGCTCTTGGGTGGCCAAGAGCAGAGCACTACCAAGATCCACAGGATCTTGACCTTCAAGATGCTGCTGGCCTGATGTCACTGCAACAAAAAAATCTGGGGTGGGCTGAGATCTTGATCAGCCACCCAGATGTCACTGTAGTGCAGCCCCCTAGCCAGGGGGGGTCTTCAAGATCCACAACAAGCTGCCACGTGGCACTGCAGATAGGCACCAGATACCAGCCACGTGCGCAGGCGGCACCATCCACGACCACCCGGCCGGAGGGGGGAGGGGGGGGGCAAATAGCTATCTTGCCGCACGCTGCTCGCCGCTCACCGACGGGGGGGGGGGGGTTAAATAGCTGCCGTGGCACTTCTTCAACAGCACCAAGCCACGATTTCAGCTTAGATTGTGGCTTTGGCCAGTGTGTTAAGGCACTGGCCACACACGCGCATGAGTGGCAGCTTTAGCAGCAGCATCCCGGATCTTGATAATATATAATTCGGGAGGGGAGCGGAGCGGGGCGGGGCGGGGCGGGGCAGCATGGCGCACGTGTGTGTGCGGCAACCCTGGCGCTTGAGCGCACGCGTAGTCCTGGCAGTCTCGTTTTTTCACCACGTGTCCGCCTCTCAACGCTGCTGCTGTTCTTCGCTGGCCCCCTGAAAAACCCTGAAAATCCCGCTATCGGGATTACAACAATTTCCCTCTGTTACGGGAGGGTGGGCGGGTTGGAGCGGGGACCGTTCTTGCTCTGATACCAGTGTGCCGGACCCGCCAGTCAGGATGGAGAAGGAGGGTTGACGAAGGAGGACGTAGAGATGGAGCTGGAAGGGACAGCGCAGCTCCGACGCAGACTCAACGCGCGCGTACTCCAAGATGTGCAAAAGTGAAGAATGAGGAAATACAGACTGCAGCTGGGGTATACCCCCAGCAGACTGACTGGACTGGACTGGACTGGCCTGGTACCGACAGTGGTACCGGGCAGGACTGGACTGGACTGAAACAGTACACGGCTTGTGGGGTCAGGCCACGGCCTGGTCCCACAGGCCGAACTGGCAAATAGCCGAAGAGGCCCTGGCTGTAGGCCAGGGCAGATAGAGGCCCGCTGCAGCGACCCTTTTGGCACAGAAGTTACTCGTACCTTCTCTCCTCTGCGCCCTCCGGATCGGTGCGAAGTGGTGTTGGTCACAATTTTTTCTCGGGGCCACTTGTGCTTATGCACAGCCGGCGAAATTGACCTCCGTCTTTGTTTCACTTGTCATGGTGACCGAATTTTCACCTATGGATACGTTTTTGGATCCTTGTGTGCCTCGGTTACTCGACGAGTTTGTGGACGCCCTTCGTCATGGTGACCGACGTTTCACCTATGGATTCATTATCGGATTCTCGTGCGCATCGGTACTCGCCGAATTTGGGGAAGTTCTTGTTTCATTTCGTCACGGTGACCGACTCTTCATTTACAGATTCGTTTTCGGATCTCGCCTGCCTCGGTTACTGGACGAGTTTCTTGTTTCACCCCGTCACGGCGGCTGACTTTTCACCTACGGATCCATTTCCGGATCTTACATGCATCGGTTCCTCGACGAGGCTCTTGCTTTCGGGTTCATTCATGGATCTTCCAGGCCTCGACTACTCACAAGTTTGGGAAAGTTTTCATTCCGGCCACGATTCTCCGGGCCACTGGTTCTTACCAGTGGACCAGGGAATCGGCCTTTTGGTTCCATTCTTTCATGGCTGTGTCTTCGACGAGTTGGGGGATGTTGTCATCCTTCCCCATGGGATGCATTCCCAGCTCCTCCCTTGCCATGGCCTGGCTTTTCCAAGGAGAGGGGGGTGTAGCATGCTGAGGCCGCTACACGGGCCCTGTTTTGGGGTGATGGTTGTTCCAGGCCCCCAGGCTGCACACCCATTTTTGGTGAGCGACCTGGAGGCCCACAACCATTTTTCCAGGCCAAGCACTCACTTGGTTCCACGTGTGCTCTCCTTTATTCAGCATTTATTATTTTTGATGGGTTTTGTCTGGACTATTTTTGTCTGTTTCAGATGTGTCGGTTCAGACTTTTCCTTTTGTCCGAACAGGCAGATGCCTGTTCAGACCAGTGGGTTTCAGTTCCGGCCGTTGTAGGCCAGGTTCAGATATGTCCGTATGTGGGACTGGACCTGGCATTCGTCTGTTTCTGCCTGGCCCAGTCCTCAGGACCCTGCTGCATCAGCAGGGTTGCCTGAACGTCCGGTAGGGACCCAGGCATTCCGTTTTGGCCAGGATCGTAGGACCAGGACATGGGCCTGCGATCAGGACCATCGATCGAACATCAGATCCAACGGTCCTGATTGGAGACTGAGGACTGCTCATCCAGTCCCAGCGGTATATAGCTGGGCCAGTCCTCCACTTTGAGAACATTCGGGTTGGAGCCTCAGTTGGGCATTAATTGCTGGAGCAGCGCCAGTTTGGGGAGAGCTGCGATAGAGCAGCGCTGGAGGAGTAGGCTGAATTGGAAAGGTTGGCGGAGGCCATGCCCACGAGGGAGAGAGGGACTTACCTGGGCGCCATAGCCGGGACTTCATACCGGTCATGGGACCGGCCTTCAGCAGCAACCTGCATCGGGAGTCGTCACCTTCCCTGGTCAGTATTTGTGGCATCGTCATCAGGAGCGTGTGGAGAGGAAAGTTCTTCTTCTTCCCCTTCCTCTCCTGCTTCTCCGCTCCCCCATAGCCACTATTCTTTCTTCTCCTCCTCCTCCCTCTTTTTCTTCTTTTTCTTCAGAGAGAGAGAGAGAGAGAGAGAGAGAGAGAGAGAGAGAGAGAGAGAGATTTCAGGCAGTGGCTATTTCGGGCCTATGTGCACCCAGGATCTGATTTGACATTTTCGAGGACAGACATTGGTTGGACATTTGATGGGGAGACTATTTCTGGACGACTACGAGTTCTACTCGTTTTCGCTCCCCCCTCCATCTTCATCTCTCCTCCCCCCCACTTCATCATCCGTGGTTTCTTCCCCATGTGTGTGCGCTAGGAGGGACCCTTCTTCCATGTATGATCCCCCTTCTTGCTGTGTGACATGTGTGATGATGATTGTGCGAGTAGAGTCTGCATCTGATGTGTCAGGTCATATCTTTGAGTCTTCCGCTGCTCTACATTGCATTATATCGTTTTGTTTTTGAATCCTGTTCATCACACTGGCGCCCCTTGGACATGTGCATTGCTCATCTTTAGATGAGCATGGATCACACTGCCAGCGGCCTCGAGCGCTCGTACTGGCAGCGCTGCCGCATGTGAAGCAAGTGCCCGAATGAGCCTCTCGTCGCCAGGCTCTTTCCTATATGGGAAGCGGCCTGGCCCGAAGGCTTTCTGGACTTGGATGCCCATGTGCCCAGTAGCTTCACGTTGGGCCAAAGTGTCTGCGCCCAGGCCCGATTCAGACAGTGGCCTGGGACTGAAACAGGTAAGGGCTCCCAACTATCAGATGTGGGATGAGGTGTTCTCTGCTTTGTGATAGGCCGACAGGCCTGCTTCCACGTCAAGCCCAGAAGAGCTTAGAAGGCTCAGGGAAGATTCAGATGCTCGCAAGCAGGGCCCATGTAACCAACTGGCGCAAGGTAACTGTCTGGCGCCCACCAGGGCCTGCGAATTTGTAAAATTCAGGCCTTGTAGATATAAGAGGGCCCGCCTTCACTTAGGGGGGGCGCAGGGCAAGCAGCGGGGCCATTAAAGGCATCCGATGTCAAGAATCCTCATATTTTTCTTTTTGTTTTTCTATTTGAAAATTTTTGTCAGTTTGCAGCGTTGCATTTGAAAAAGGAGTGCAACCTTGTGCACAAGCAATTGTTTTTCACATCTTTGAAATTATTGAGGAATGAAGAAACGCGGGTGATATGCGATGCAACTGAGTGGACTACTGTTTGTCTATTTCGTGTGTACTTTTCCAGATAACGATGGGATGGATGTTGCTTATGGCTCTATGGTTCCTCGCAATGGGCATCTGGGCTCTGATGACTGGCGCCTTGACCGGGAAAACGATCGGCATTGTGATAGCCATTCCTGTTCTTCTAGGTCTCCTGCTCAAGGCCATGATGCTTTCAACACGTGCCGATCTCAGCAGCAGCAACAGGCGTGCAAAGCGGCAACAGCAGGTGATTGCCCAGCAGGAAATGGCAGAGTTGAGAAATGTGGGTGAGGGTGCAGAGAATCATGCCCATGCTGAGTGACAGGCATTCGGTTCTGCAACTGTTACCTTCTTCCATCTGCTTTCTCTTTCTTCAACTGAGAGCCTTCAATGCAGTGGCATGGATGCAATTGAATCCAGGGGCAAACTTGTTTCACAGTGCGCAATCAATTGGATGTCGGTAGTCTGCAGTCCCATGTGTGTTAGAGGAACTCGAGCTCAACGGCAGACTGAACGAAGTGTTATGCTCTCTCTCTCTCTCTCTCTCTCTCTCTCTCTCTCTCTCTCTCTCTCTCTCTCTCTCTCTCTCTCTCTCTCTCTCTCTCTGGCGCGCTCTGTGTGTGTGTGTGTGTGTGTGTGTGTGTGTGTGTGAGCATAACCAAGTAGATGCTTACCACTCTCTCTCTCTCTCTCTCTGTGACGCGCGCGCGTTGTGTGTGTGTGTGTGTGTGTGTGTGAGCATAACCAAGTAGATGCTTACCAGACAAGTTCAGAGAGCCCAGCTGAGCCGAGCGGATAACGCAGCAGGTGACTGCAGAGCTTGTCGCTCTGGTGAGTTAAGTTGTTGAGCTGGTTTTGCTCTCTGGTGAGCATAGCAAGTGTCTATGTTCACGCTCCTTGCCTCCCCATAGTCTGCACATACAGAGTGCTAATAGTGGCGTAGCTGGAAGGGGGAGAAAGAATAAAGAGTTTTTGAAAAAGTTCTGAAAGCCGACCAAGGAGGAGAATGTGGAGAATGTCATGTTTGCGAGTAAAAGCTGTGGAGCTGGTATGTCGTGCTGTCGAGGCGCCGAAAGTCTGCTCGCATTGTCTGATGCGTTGGAGATATGCTCTTCCATGGTCAATTTTATCCAAACATTTATTGACTCATGGCATACCACTTTGGTCAGTTGATGGCTGACCATTGTGTGTGAGCGAGGCTGCCGGCATTCTCCACCTCGTCCTCCTCCTTTTAGCCAAGGAGATGTCTGAGCCTTCCTTTGTTCTACAGATCTGCTAGGGGGAAAGAAAAATGGCGCTGTTAGCTTCTCGAGTCTTTTCCCCTTCTCCACTGGAAGAAAGGGGTGGGAAGAAAGGGTTGTTTATGCCAAGCTGTGGAGATGGCTGTTGTGAATGGCTTGGCCTTTGGGATCTTGAGCAGAGTCTGGGGATCGTGGGGGGTGGTGACGTCCATTGATATGCATGGAAGGTGGAAATGGGTACAGTCAATATGCTGAATGGAACTGGAGAGTCGACGTCTGTTTCACATTCCTTTCGAAGTCTTCTGTTGTGATGGGTGGCCTCGCTTTACGCACAGGACGGCTAATCCCTGGGCGGAATATCTTCATCCGTATTCTCCAAGAAAGGCTTGTCCCTAGCCACAGGATGACATCCTCACAATTCTTGGTTTCCCCATTTGTGCACACAAATACGAAGGATAGTTGCCAGCTGTTGATGGCATGATGGTGGTCTGCCACTTATCACTCACTGGTGGTTGTATTTCTACATGTAGTGCCACGTCCCGATATACTGAGGTCGAAGCTTTGGGGGTGGGGGTCTAAATAGACGTCAGGTCGATAACATCACAGGGGGCGGAAGACACATCACCCTGGAACAGTATTGGTGTTCTGGGCTATAAATTGAATGCCCCGTCTGCCCTACTATCAATGTGGAATACATCCCCCACGTGTTCTCAATTCCAATGCCCTGCTGTCATCTTTTTCTCTCTGTTATGTGCTATACGTCTACTTCACTGTTCAACTCTCTCTCTCTCTCTCTCTCTCTCTCTCTCTCTCTCTCTCTCTCTCTCTCTCTCTCTCTCTCTCTCTCTCTGCCCATGTGTGCCACCCCCTAGTGCTTGTTTCCGTCTTCTGGTCGCTCAGCTCTGTTCATTCTCCTTGATCTTGTTTGATGGAACCTGTTTGTTCATCCGTCAGTTCATTCAACCTGTTCATCGTCTTCGACCTTCACTTTTTCTTTGGTCGATCTTCTGTCAGTATGTGCTAGCCTTCGCAATCTGTGTCATGAAGGTGTTCTCGTTCGAAAAAAGCTCCTCGACTTTGGAAATGTGCTTGGCAGTGATGGTCCATGTCTCCCTCTGGTCTCAGAAGAGAGAGTGCAGTTGTGTTGGACTGCGAAACATAGGGACTGTCAGAGGAGGTGTTCTGCCTTCTTCGTGCTGCTTACTTCACCAGACTTCATGCCTTTTTCACAGTGCTGTGTGAGCTAATCAGCATGTCTTTTCCAGGATTCTTGACCGGATTCTTACAGTCAATTCCTGTATTGTAACCATGATTTCATGCTCTGGTTGTTTTTTTCCTTTTCTATTTTTTTGGTTTGCGATCCATGCTCTGTCTGGGGCAGCTGTACCCTCCTTTCCACCACCTCTTTCTCTCCCTCCTTTTCTCCTCCACGTTTTGTCCTCCACGTTTTGTCCTCCATGTCTCTCCTCCACGTTTTTTCCTCCAGGTCTTTCTCCTCCACGTTTTGTCCTCCTCGTCTTTCTCTCCATCGTTTTGTTCTCCACGACTTTATCTCCCGTCCTTCCGCCACTTGTTTCGCTCCTACCCCCCATGTTGGCGTGTTCCCCCTAGCCCCTCTGTGTAATAGCAGGCTTAATCTGTCGTGGGGTGGGCACTACTTGCTTTGTGTAGTGTGGGTGGGGTCTATCCAGAAAACCGAGTCATCAAAGAAGTCCCGACCAGTGGATGACACTACTTGCTGGGTAGTGTGGGTGGGCTCTATCGTGAAAGCACAGTATGAAAGACTACCAAGCTCTTGACTGTCCATGTACGTCTGTGCAGGGCATCATCGATACCTCGTTTCCTTCCTCCTTCCTGTCTCATGCGTCATCAACCCCTCAAAGTACATTTATTCCGGATTGAGAACTACATGATGACCACGTGCAAGCTGTCTTCCCCCTCCTCTCTGTCTCATGCTTCCTGCGTCATTAACCCCTTGAAGTGCTTTTTTTTTGGGTTGGCGGCTATGTGATAAGCTTGTCCAAGCTCTCTTCTCTTCTCCATCCTTCCTTTCTCATGTTTCGCATCCCTTCTGCTTGCTCGATGTTTCCTGTGTCTTGGTCTCTTCCTTTGATGTATTTTTTGTTCCTTCAGCTAGCTTCAACATGCCTGACTCTGTTAAGTTGCCAACCACTTGCCCGTCAATCTACTCGATCGTCACTCTACTCGACCGTCACTTTACTCAACCGTCAGTCTACTCGACCATCAGTCGGACTACTCGGCCGTCAGTCGGACTACTCGGCCGTTGGTCAGTCTAGTCAGTCTGGCTTACAAGTGATACGGACTTCATGTTTTCGCTTCCGTTCTTTCCTCCTCCTTCATAGTCTCATTTTTCATTCTGTATTACATAGTACATATCCTACTCCAAGGAGATAACACAATAGACCAACAGTTTTCTTGTTTACTTTATCTAAGTTTATCAGGTTTATTTTCCCCATCGACATTCTGGCAGCCATGCGACATGGATTGGTGGGAGAAGGGCAAAACCTTCATTATAGACTTTTGTAGTGGGACATTTGTGGTGGCTGCAAGGTCAGGCACACTGATGCAGGTCCGCATGGGGATATTCCAACACAGCGTCTGGTGCCATACCCTATTGGAAATCTTCTCGTCAGTCTAAGCGCCCGAGGGTTCGCCGGTCCAGGCACTGTCCCACCAACCCTTTTGTCGGTGCGAGACCCTCCTGCCACCCAGGCAGTGTCCCACTCTCCCACCATTCTTCCGCCTGTGGGATTTGGTTCGTCTGCCGCAGCATGGCTGGGAGTTTACAGCCGTGCGTGTGTGCAGGTGGATCAGCATTGAGACTGCCATTCTGGGGAAGGATGGATAAGTCAAGACTCGAGACTGCTCGTGGGTGTGTGGTGGTGGTGAGGGCTTTCTTCAGGCTGGTGGCGCAAGTGCTTTTTTCATCCATGTTCAACCCGGACAAAGGCGCATGTGAAGGGGCCTTAGACCCCCCGGGTATCCCAATCTGGAAGTAAGACAGCTTCGGTATGCTTTTTCCCAAAGCAGGTAAGCTTGAGAAATCTCAAGCTAGAGCTATGGAGTAGGAGCTATGTCCAAGGCTTATGATCATCTAAGTTTCTTCGGTGCAAGCATCAGGGTGCTCTCCGAAAGTCCGCATGGCAGCAGATCAAATCTGTGGACGGCGGTGGACGCCTAGAAAGGACAGGCAGTGACAACACTGACAAGGCTACTGTCTATTTCAGGTGCATTTCACTGCAGGTGGTCAGTTTCTGTCCTGGCACCTACCATAATTGACTATACATTCGCACAGGGGGGGGGGGGGGGGGGGGGGGGGGGGGGGGGGGGGGGGGGGGGGGGGGGGGGGGGGGGGGGGGAGAGAGAGAGAGAGAGAGAGAGAGAGAGAGAGAGAGAGAGAGAGTAATGCCTAGGGCCAACTGTTACGAATGGGAAGGGTTGGGAGAATGGGGAAACGAAAAGAAGTATGTCATGTGAAGCGTGTTCATGTTGTGTGACATCTGTGTGCAGGTGAGTCAATCTGTCGAGTATTGAACATGAAGTATAGTTCGTATGACTTGGTAAACCTTTCAAGTACTACATTTGAGATTTAGCAAATCTTTAAAGGAAGAGTATTAAAATTTGTGGCTTGTAGTGAGTAAATCTTTCAAAAAGAGTTGAATGAGGTGAAGTTAAATCTGATATGGAGACTGAGTGAAGATGATGTTGTATCATGATGTGCAATGGTATATTGCTACATCGGTTTTCTAATGCTGCTTGTGGCATGCAGGGCAAAGAGGATAAATGAGGGGCGGTGGTGTGTGGGAGAGTGCTGGCTGTAGAAACTGCTGTTACTCGATGGGGGTGGGGGAAGTAGATGTGAGGCGCAGCTACGGGCAAAATGCTTGGTCTTTGTCTTAGCCGGCCCCCTCACCGGCGGCCCCACTCTACTCCCTGATGACCGCCGATTAAGGCCGGGGGCAAACGTGCACCCCTTAATTGTGAGAGGTGGCTATGCTTGCAGGGGTCCCCTGTATAGGATTTGGAGTAGTGGTAGGCTGAGTGACCCTGTTGAATCAAAAACGGGGCCCCTTCCGCCATTTCTTCTCCCAACGGACAAGATCCGTGGGAGCTCGGGTGCGTGGCCCAGCAACCCCGTGTGATTAAACTTTTTAAAAGAGAAATTCACCCACCCGCCCCCCAAACCGCCCCTGGTTGTGTGTGTGTGTGTGTGCCCTCAATCAATCAATCAATCAATCAATCATATTGGGTTTTTATTTTTTACAATTTATATATATATATATATATATATATATATATTGATTGATTGGGGGTTCCTTCCTCCTCCCCCCCCCTTGTGTGTGTGTCTCGGTGTGTGCACAAGTGTGAGTGTGTGTGTGTGTGTGTGTGTGAGTGTATGTGTGAGTCTGTGTGAGTGTGTGTGTGTGTGTGTGTGTGTGTGTTAGGAAATGATCTCAAAGCACGTTCGCCATGCTACTCCACTCTTTCAGTGGTACACCAGGTCCAGCCACAGCCCATCACATGCCGTTGTAACTGCCACCCATCCATGCTTACCTCTTTTCAGTGTAAAATGACAGACCACACGCAAACAAACCAAACAGGCAAACCAAAAAAATCCCAAAAGGATGTCAACGCACACTGCTGCCACTTTACTTCTCTGAAGCGAACTCATACATCTGTGGCTTACCATGACCGGTTTCCGAAGTCCCACATGGATGAAGGGCACAGGGGAGGCGGGAGGGCAGACGACACACGAACACACCAAGCAGGCAATGGAATGGCATGACGTTACCAGGCATGGGATGGCAAGCAGCAGCAAAGGGCAAAGGCTGGAGGGCACGGGGTAGGCGGGAGGGAAGATGACACAAGCACACCGAGCAGGCGGGAGGGCAGACAACATGCAAGCACACCAAACAGGCAATCCAGAAAGGAAAAAAAAAAACAAGTCCCAGAAAATGCAAAGACCGAAAGAAAAAAACAAGAGCTGATGATAAACTGTTTCGTTGGAGCTGCACCCACTCATCAGGAGGCTGAACCTTCAACAATCTGCGGAATCTCCGTATTTGATGGTTTGGGTCGTGAACCCTTTGACCCATGTTGAAGGCAATCTCATGCAGTCTCAACATCCTGAACAGTCTCAATGCAGTCCCTACTGCACCTCACTTCCCCAGCCAACCGCAAGTCCATGCCGCCTCAAATCATCCTGTCCGCTCACAATAGCCACACCAACATGTCGATGCCAATCACAACAACCAGTCCCGCCTAGTCCCAAAATAGTCCCAGATGGTCTCAATGCAGTCCCATACCATCACCGCAATACTAGGTGGTTCGGAACTCAAAACCGCTTGCAGTGTGCGCCGCAAAAAAAATAATGGTGGCCCTGGCTGAAAACCGCATGTGTCGCAAGCCCCAAAAAAATAAAGATGTCTTTCCGGCGCAAACCGCAAGTGCCGCAACTCCAATAACCAGTGTCACGTGTACTCACTCTGTGATCTCTTCATGCCGCCAGCCCACGCATTGCTACCGCACAATCCCTAACGTGCACCAGTGTTAGCCCAACCTCTGGCCCCCATTAGTATCCACCATAGTTGCCGCACACCATATAAAAATAAAGAGCGGAACGCCGCTCACCGCGCCATCAAAACCGGTACCACGCCGCCCCTCAACACCACCGCCAGATTACACACAAAAAACTGCCTCCACTGTGACGCAAAAGACTCGCAGCATCTTCCCTCACAATAGTGCTGCCAACGTGCCGTCAACATAACCCCCAAAAAATAACGCGGATACCTCCGCCAATCTCGGCAACATGGTCCCACCGAAAAATGTTGCTGCCACCGTGCCAAAAAAAAATGGCAGCACTTCCCCATTGACAACGTCGCTGCCGCTGTACCAAAAACAAACGGCAGCACTTCGTCACTGACAGCGTCGCTGCCGCCGTGCAAAATTGGCAGCGTTCCGCACCACTGCCGTTAAAACCAATGTCGCCGCCGCAAAACTTCGGCAGCGCTTCCGCACCACTGTCGTTAAAACCAATACCGCCGCCACAAAATTTTGGCAGCACCTTCCCTTAAGAAGGTCTTGACGCCGTGGCGGCAGTCTGGCAGCAGAACCCTACTAAAATAGGTGCCACTTGCCGCACCGTCCGGACCCTGACGCAGCCTTACCACCACAGCACCATCCCACATACACAGCACACGCACAAGGGTGAGGCAAGCTCCAAGCCCTCAGCTATGGCTGTCTCCCTTCTCCTCCTCCAACTCTATGCAGACCTCCACTCCCCACCTCTCTTCACTTCCTACTCCAGCCAGCAGCCTCTCCTCCAGCAGCTAGCACTAACTCAAGTGGAATGCCAGCAACATCAACCCCGACTGAATGTTGGTTGGCTGGCTGTTAGCTTCTTTTATCGCCAGCCAAGGGTTGAGGGCAGCAACTTCGTCCTCAGTCAAAACTCGGATTAGGGTCTGGCCCTTGATCTCAGACGAGATCAAGGGTCGAATATCTTGATGTCCCCCTAGGGGAACCAAGTTCCAGGCCTTGGTAATGCATCTGGCCTTCACCCGCGGCCAGACGCAGCCCAAAAAAGGTTGTATCAAGCCATTTTAGGACTGCATCTTCAACTGAACAGACGCAATCCCATCAGCCCCCAGAAGCTTCTGGGGCTGTATCTGTTCCACGGTCGCGGCTACATACGCGGCCGTTATCTTTTCCCCCTTTCTTTTTTCTTTTCCTCCTCTTTTTTTTTTTTTTCCTTACCCTCTTCGTTTTCCTGTGCAGGGGCAGCTCACCGTTCAAAACAAACGGCTGCCCCTTCCTTCCTACCACTAAAGTCAAGCTCAGCAGGGGGGGGGTTCCTGTCCAGCTCGCGCCTGCACCCGGCTGCCAATGGTGCCAGGTGCATGTGTCAATCTGCAGCCCGTTCAGTAATGAAGTGGGCACAAATTGGTGTGGCACCAATTTCTCTCTCTCTCTCTCTCTCTCTCTCTCTCTCTCTCTCTCTCTCTCTCTCTCTCTCTCTCTCTCTCTCTCTCTCTCTCTCTCTCTNNTCTCTCTCTCTCTCTCTCTCTCTCTCTCTCTCTCTCTCTCTCTGTGTGTGTGTGTGTGTGTGTGTGTGTGTGTGTGTGTGTGTGTGTGTGTGCATCTCGAACGTAGCCGCCCTGGGCGGCAGACTCATTCGATTTTGCTCATCCAAAGATGAGTTGTCGGGGCACAGTCTCCTGATGAGTCTGTGTAAATCCGACGAAACAGCCCGGAGCAATCAAAACCTGTTCGTTGAAAGCGAACAGGTACTCAAAAGTAATTAAAAAAACGTAAAAACCCAATATGCGAAATCTATAAAAAAAAAATAAAATCTAAAAAAACAAAACAAAACGACATCTAGAAAAAGAGAATAAATTTAAAAAAAAAAAAAAAAAAAAAACTTACCTCGCCTGTTGAACACTCCCCTGTTTCCCAGGGCCCTGTCAACAGGCACTGGGGCCAAAACGCCCCAGTCATATCAAACGGCCCCATGTGGCGCTTCCCATTCTCGTTGTTTTAACCTCTAGATTCTTTTCTTTTTCTCGCCACAAAAATTCGGCAGCACCTTCCCTTAGGAAGGTCTTGACGCCGTGGCGGCAGTCTGGCAGCAGAACCCCACTAAAATAGGTGTCACTTGCCGCACCGTCCGGACCCTGACGCAGCCTTACCACCGCAGCACCAGCCCACATACACAGCACACACACAAGGGTGAGGCAAGCTCCAAGCCCTCAGCTATGGCTGCCTCCCTTCTCCTCCTCCAACTCTATGCAGACCTCCACTCCGAACGGGTACCTATTCCTTATGAGGGCCATGCTAATCCTCCCTGTATCGTTCCAATTCCAACGGACGTCCCATCAGACGAACGGGTAAAAAAAACTAAACAAAATCTGGAAAAAAAAAACAAATTTAAAGAAAATCCAAAATAAAATAAAATAATAATATTTAAAAAAAAATGCTTACCTTTTTTACGAGTGCTCGCCCATTAATACGGATGTTGTCAGGGTGGTTGGGGCAAAAACGCCCTTGTTACTTCCCATGGCGCCATGTGGCGCCTCACATATTTGCCTTTTTTTTTTTTTCTTTTTTTTTTTTACTTTTTTTTTTTCCGTTGGCCCTTAGCCAACAGCTACACCCTTACCTCACGTGGCTTTTCAGCCACTTCACTTGAAATGCAGGCTCGAGTTCGAATGCTAATGGATTCGAAACTTATGCGCGTCATCCTTGTTCAGGGCCATGTTAATTTCCTCCGCGCGGCTGATTCCAGCCGCGCGATCTCGTCGATCGAGCGGCCGAGATCAGATGCGCCGACCCAACCGGCCCAACCGGCTGCTCCAAAAAGGATCCAGCCCGAGGTTGCTCATGGATTTGATCCCCTCATCAACGGGGTGACAATCAGATATGTTTACCTACTAGGCTGGCTCCTACTACGGTTGTAGTCATGGTAGGAGCAGGCCTTCTATTAGAAGGGTTGTGGGATCTGGTTGACCGCCACTTAGCAACCCAGTGGCTCCCCCTGCATCCCTCAGTGGTTATGGCCTTGCAGACCCTGCCTGCCTGTGGCCCCACAGACCTAACCTGCTTGAGGCCTGACAGGCCTCACCTGCTAGCCCTAAGTCAACCGCCGGGGCCCAAAAAA